AGGAATTGTGCCCATTTGGCTGAAAAGTCAGTTTTTTAAGTTACCTAACTACCAGGTTGTTCTGTGAAATGAAATAACGAGCATGCATTAAACAATTATTTTAGTTAACATCTATATCTGATGCTAATAAAACTAATTGTTCATTTATTTAATAATTTTTTTAGTATCTGGTACATGCTAGGCACTGTACTATGTACTGAGATAATAGAGTGAACAAAATAGGCAGTGTCTGACATAGAGCTTGTGCTCTAGTGAAAATTCTATTGATAGTTTAAAACTCTATTGTTTTAAGTTTTTTAAGCACTGAGATTATGTCTTTTGTCTCTGTGTTCCTGACTTCCTGTTCAGTTCATTGTAAATATTAAAGAATTCATGAATTAAAAAAAAAAGTGAATGAAATTATACCCTGAAATGTTTCATTTTTTAAAACATTTAAAGCTGTTTCCTGAAACATTTATTTCATTCTGTAGAAATTTTGCAAAACATAATTATTGCTGGAGTCTAAAGTTTTAAAGCAAGAGAAACATTTGGGAAGAAGAAATAGGACTGTTATTTAAAAAGGCAGAAAAAATTTTAGAGCATTTATATGTAAAGTGTTCTATATGATAGACAGCAGGCTAAACAAAATGTTCAGATTAATGATAAATGAAACCTGTCTTAGTCTCTTCTTTTTCACAGAGTGTATCACAGTTATAGAGCAAACAATTTAGAAAAATCTAAGTTTACCAAATCTTACACATGGGGGGTACACAATGGCATCTTTTCAAATGGCACATAAACCTGGAACTTCAGAAAAAATATGCATGATAATAATTTTATTTATTAAAATAAGAATACCAAATAATTTCTACTTTATTGGTTTATCTTCAGTATGTAATACTTAGATATGTAGCCCTTGACCTAAGAGGAATCAAAATAGGGGTGGTTCTGCTTCAAGAATTTGTAATAATCCCTTCACTTTAACACATGAATATTGGCAAAAGAACACGTTGCTACCAAAACTGAAATAAGATCCTTGAAACAGAAAGGATGTTGCCATGGAAAAATGAAGTAACACTCAGTGCAGCTGTGATGCATTAATGAATAGGATATTTTTTTAAAAGATCATTTGTGTTTGGTGTGGCTCAGAGGGTCCCAACCAGATGGTTTCCATGAACATGATCTGACCCCCAGTTTGAGGACTTCTTACTGGCAGATTACTTCATTTTCTTTCCCTTGGATTGTCAGATCCTTACATTAATGCAAAATTTACTGCTGCAGTTTTCTGTTCACTTGCATAAATCATTCAACATTTTACATTAAAACCACAATTTTAGACATATAGTTTAACAGTTATTTTAAAAGTGTAAAAAGATTTATGTGATAGCTTTAGTATATATAATATATGTAACATTATAAATTTGAGCAATTTGGATTATGTATATGTTTTGGTTCTTATCATTAAAGAAATCCCCACAACATATATTATATTTAGAAAGTTTATTTTTTTAGAGTTGTTATGTATCTCATGCTAATATACTATTGATTCTGTATGCATTGCTCAGGTTGTTAAATGTAATGAAATAATTTGTTTCTGAATTAGTGGAATTTTAGAATATTTTGTGATTTTGGAAATTTTGGCACAATTTCAATTCGTTTCTCACTCAGCCTTATATGTATATATTTGTATATGGCGACATGTTAAGCCAATTATGTCACATTACTGAAAGCTATTTTTCAACATAGCATCAGTACCTACATGAAGTATTAAATACTTATAAGGTCAAATCAGTATTTATATGGGATAATATGCTCTCAGTGTGCCATTTTAACTTGTGTTATTGAACACTGACAATGACTTATGTTAATATTTAAAAACTTAATACATCTGAGACAATATATACTTCTGTTTCAGAATAAAAAAGTATGTCGTAATCTTAAATCAATTAACTACTTAACATATACACACTTAAATTGTCTAAGCTGCAAGATAAAATTCTAAAACTAAAAAACGAGCTCATAATCTATGAACCAATGTATTTGTTTTTGCAAAATTTTACTTATATTTTTCTTCACTGAATTCATAAGTTTGTCCATGCACAGAAATGTTGAAGCAAAGATGAGAAAGTTTGCTTATTTATAAGGCTGGCAAATTATTTATTGTATTAAGGAATTCCAGCTGTTACATATCATTATGCTCTCACTAAGGAATATGTAAGCCCCCAGAGAAGTCATATTACTATATTGTTAGTTATCTTTTATTTAGTACATTTGCTAATATAATTGACTACAATATCCAAGTATTAAGCAAACAAAGTTTATTTTTATTGCACTTTCAGATAATACCTTTGTATGCCAAATATTTTGTAGAAAATTAACAGGTTATATTTTTTATTTTCTTAAAAATAATTCAAGTGTGCTAGTCTGTTTGGGCAGTTTACTAACCTGGTACAGGATATTACTTTGTAAGAACCAACTAAAACTAATAGACCAACCTACATTGCTTTTGAATTAAGAACTTACAATGAATTCAGGTTAATCTTGTTTTACCTACCTAAGGCCCTAGCAACCCAAGTGACTACACTGGTGATAGGGAAGTATAAAAATTTCACATGAAATCACAGTAAAAGCAAGGAATAGCGCTCTTAAAGTCTTCTGAATTTTCTTTATTACCATGTATGTGTTTATATATAACAAATGTGATATATATACTTGAGTCTTGGTATACATGTGTATAAAAAGAGAAAGTATATGATATAAACGTGTTCTATTTTAATGTTTGCCTAGAGATATCATCTGAACATTTTAAACATTTTTTTTCTTATATTTTAGTCTATAAAGTAAAAAAGGATGAGCCAAATTCATATAGAATTAGAAGTTTGTGTGTTTTTTAAAGTAAGAGCAATAAAATGGTAGTCAGTTCTAAGGACTTAGCTGGTGTTAACAAAATCTAATGAACCGCAAAAGGAGGAGGATTTTCTCACCTTTTTTTGCCAGGACATTTTCTAACTCAGTTATGTTTCTTGGATAGAACTGTGGAAAGGCAGATATGTTTTCAGCTCATGTCACTGCACCCATTTGATCAGATGTATAGCAAAAAACAAACCTTTTCAAGTGTTTGTTGTGTTCTTTAGAAAAAGAAACTCATAAAGACACAAGTATGGGACATTTTCGTTTTTATTCACTTGCCTGTTTATTCTGGTAAAGATATTGGTATTTGAAGGTATGTTTATTCTCAAATTTAGCCTGATCTAAATATTTAATTTTGCTTTTCTTTTCTAGCTTGAAGTACAATCTTGTTGTGTATTCATTCCAAATGATAGCCTGCCTTCCCCAAGTACAATTGTATCTGGTGACATTCCTGGAACAGTAAGAAGTTGGTACCATGGACAGACCATGCCAGGAACACTTGTTCTCTGCCTGCCTCAAATAAAGATTATTAGTGCTGGCCACAAGTATATGGACCCTCTGCAGGAGATTCCATTTGTTATCCCACGACCCATCCTTGAAGAAGGTACTTTTAAAGAAATTCTTTTTATGTTGTTATATCTATATATACTGATATTTTGAATTTTGTTAGTTTTTTAATATGCTAGTGCATATGTAACTCAGTTTTATTGAAAGATCTACACGAAGATGAAAGTGATCTACAAAGCAATCTAAAAAGAAAGATCTACAAAATAAATGAACATGAAACTGTGATGCTGTTTATTGACAGCCACACCTTTTAATTATATCCATGTATAACTACATAAATGGAGACTGTGCAAAACATCATATGCAATATAATATAATCATTAAAATGCTAAGCATAAAAGTGACTTAAGAAGTTGGTTTCAGATGTATACATTAGGCTGAATTAAGAATGATTAGTAGGTTGATCTAAATTTAAGCTGCTTGACTTATGAGTGAGTATATTGTAACATAAATAATCAAATAAATATATCAAGCATATTTCTGCATTTCTCATTTATTTAAATAAAGTAGATAGTTATATGGTGATTGCAGCCATAACTCTTAAGTAAATACTTGATTTCCGATATTGCAGTATTTTCAGTTGCAAATTGATATTCTTTTGAACTTTGACATATTCATCGGAAGCAATATGTGAACCTGGAAAAGTTTTAAGTCACAAAGTAAATAATGTGAATCTATATTTTAATAACAAGATTCAAATGTTTGACAGTTTTAAATAGGTCAACACCTTGTTCATGTTGTTAAGATGCAAGTGTATCAATCCTGACAGCTTTCAGATTACTGCACATACTGTTATCGAAGAGCAGATATGGTCTGCACGGTTTTTGACTGTGACTTGAAGTTGATTTCTCTCTATTTTTCTGTGCACTGAAATTTCCACTGCAAGCTAGTTTTCTCATATTTGTCAGAAGTGAGCATTGCCAGAAATTAATGTTGGCAATGTTTAAGATTATTAAATGTGAATGTTGTTAAATATAAAATAATAGAATTCTAAGAGTTAGAAAGAACTTGTTTAGAGTTTTTCCTATGTGAGGGTCTTTGTCTTAATGCAAGGGTCTTTTCTTTAGCATACTAGACATATCTGTTCTTTGCTAATTACTTTTGGTTATAAGGAATTCTTTATTATCACGACAGCTATTGTATATCATATCAAGGACATGCTAGCCTCTTAAAGTGAGCTGGAGAGTGATCCTTCAACTCTGGAATAAATTTTTTGTAGGATTAAAATGATTTGTCCCTTGATTTTTTTGTTGTTGAAACTCACTAATATTTGTGTAACAACTCTTTAAGATATAATTTGCATATTTTAAAATTCCTTTTAAAGTATACAAGTAGATGATTTTTAGTGTATTTAGTTTTGTGCGGCCATCACCAATATCAAATTTTAGAATGGTTTTATCACTCCAAAGAAGAATTGATATACTAGTAGCAGTTACTCTTCATTATTCCAGGTATTTCATATGAATGGAATCACACAATATGTGGTCTTTTGTGACTGACTTGTTTCACTTACCATAATATTTTCAAGACTGATTCATATTGTAACATTATCAGTCTGCATTCTATTTTATGGTTGAATTATAATCTATTTTGTGGATATACCACATTTTCTTCATCCATCAGTTGATGGATATTTAAGTGGTTTTCACGTTTTAGCTATTTTGATTAATTCTGCTATGTTCCTTCTTGTACATGTTTTGATTTCAATTAGATATATGTATACCTAGAAATTGTTGGTTCATATGGTAACTCTGTGGTTAAGCTTTTGAGGAATTGATAGAATGTCCCCCCAAAATGTCTGTACTATTTTACAATCCTACATCAAGGTATGAAAGTTCTTATTCACATCTGTGTCACCACTTGTTATTGCCTGTCTTTTTAGTTCTAGCCATCTCATTGCATGTGAAGGAGTATCTTGTCATTTTAATTTGCACTTCCCTGATCACTGATGATGTTGAGCATCTTTTCATATGCTTGTTGGCCATTCATAGATTTGTTATTTGTTCTTATCCTATTTAGATTATTCGCCCACTTTTTAGTTGGGTTATTGGTCTTTTTATTGTTTAGTTAAAAGAGTTCTTCATATATTCTGGATATTAGAACTTTAGTAGATATATGATTTACAGATATTTATGGATTGTCTTCCCTATCTTGATTTCTGCTTTATATTTTTTAATTCCATTTTTTCTCTGCTGTATTGGAAGTTATTCTTTACTCTTCTTTTTATTTTAATCTTAGAAATTAACACTTTTTATGATGTAAATTCTGGTCTTAGAAATATTGATGCATTCATTTTTAATTTATTAAATTATACATAAATAAGCTATTTACTCTGCAAGGTTTGGAAAATTTATTCAGTAAAGGGCCAGATAGTAAGTGTTTTTAGTTTTATCAGCTATATGGTTTCGATTCCAACTACTCTACTCTTTGTAATGTAGAAGCAGCCATAGATGATTATATGTCAATGAATTGACATAACTATGTTCCAATAAAACTTTATTCAGCCAGATTTGGTCATGGACCCTCTATTCTGACTCATATACTAGTGCCTTACTAATCATTCCTTCTCATAGTGTCATTCCTTTCTTGTATCTCAGATAATTTTCCTTCTGGCTTTTTGTGATGATCTGCTGTTAGCAAACTTAATTTTGTTGTTTGAAAATGTCTGAATTTTGCTCTCTTTTTTAAAAGATATTTTGCTAGATATAGAATTTCTTATTAATAGTTATTTTTATCTAACCCATTAAAGATACCATTGTTCCAACACTTGCTTTTTATTGCTCTTTTGAGGGATCCACTGTCATTTTGTGTTTCCTTAAAGATATTTATCCTTTTTCTCTGACAACTTTAGAATGATTTTAATCTGAGTTTTAAAGTTTTAGTATTGATGACCTTTATGAGTTCTGCCAGTGTTCTGGATTATCTCTTCAGATTGCCTCTGCATAATTCTTTCTACATATATGTTCTTCTTTTTCACCTTTTTAATGTATTTTTCTTATTTTTCTTCTCTTTGACTCGCTGACCTGCATTCTGAGTTAGCTCTTTAATCTGATCCTCTAATTCATTAATTTTCTTTTCAGTTATGTCTAACATGCTATTGAACTTGTTCATTGAACTCTTGAGTAAACTTTTATATAATTCTAGTATATCATACAGAAAACTGTACAACTCTTAGTGTACAGCTTTACACTTCATGAAATAAACCCATTCATGTTACTGGCATCTGAAATCAGATAAAGAATATTATCAGCATCCAGGAGATCTCTAGCTTCTTACCAGCCACAGTTTCTTCAAAGGCAAACTGTATGTTGACATCTAAAACCATAGTTTTCCTGTCTTAACACTTTATTTGTTAAATTTAAATTTCCTTATGATATCCTTTTCATTTTGCTTGTTTTTTAAAACATCTTGCTTTTTATTCATAATTTTCAAGACTTTCTTATATTTCTTCAT